AATTAAATGCTGGGGTGCCTACAGTTCTTTTCCCTGGCAAATATTTCTCCTGTTTTAATTCTTGAGAACTAATCATTAATTAGCACGAGGCTGCTAGTATGCAGCTGCAGGAATTCTTGTTTTCCTCACTTCCAAATTTTCCAAAGAAGTAAATCGTAAGTGATGGTGCATAGCACTTCAAGTCACTTAGAGCAACGCACTGATCGGTCTGATGGGATAGTCAGCTAGCAAGGAGCAGCAAGGTTGCTTGGTCCCAGCTGAGGATCTGGCCAAGTGTGTTTTTCATGGCACAGCCCTTTATTTTAATCAGCTTTTTTCCCTCCCTTATCTTTACCAAAGTCTGGAGAGAGTCGGGGGGTGAGGGGAAGCTACCCAAAATGTGTTCTTTTTGCAACCGGCAGCTGTAATTCCCTGATTACATGTCGAGCTCGCTTTGTGCTCGGGGTTGTGGTGGCGTTCCCTTACATGTTTGTGGCCTCATCAGACTATTCCTATGGCTCTGCAGCAAGACATAAATTCTGGAGATTTCAGGCTCGGAGGTTTCAAAGTTGTGCTGAACCACATGGAAATGATTCTCGGAGCTACAGCTATAAAAATAATTGAAAGAGTGACGAGAAATGTCCCCAAAAGATTTCAGTGGCGGTTACAGGATCTGTCGCGGCTCTGCAAGAGGCTGCTGTGATCTCTGAGGCTAATTTATCGCTGCTACCTATAACTTTGAAATACACCCGAAAAAGCACGGAAGGAAGGATTGCAGAGGAGAGGTGCTGCAATCTTCCCTTTTGTTTTATTGAAGATGCTTTGTAGGCTCTTAAAACTGGAGCTACTCTGCACAAAGGTGTGAGGATGACTAATTTGCAGGCAAATTAAGTCTACTTAACTGAAATGTATGCCCTCATGCTCCCTTAATGACCCTTCCATGCACATCTCTCCCGGTAGGACTTTTACCGCAGCACTGGCTCCGGCAGATTAAGTAATAACATGCTTTTGCCACTCTTCTGAGCAGTCCTTCAGTGTCGATCCAACATTTTCCTTCCACCGTGTGTGTGTCTAACTCCTTATGATCGGTAATTAGTTTATATGTATCCAGCCCGTGGCAGATTTCTTTGGGATGTCTCCTTCTCTGGAACGTTTTCCTTGCACCCTCTCTTTCCAAGGTCTCAGCCTGAGCGTTTTCTGGCTGACTGCAATGTAGTTGGTGTTCGCTGTCTAACAGATTTATTCTTTCCCAAGGAAAGACACGAATGTAAACAGAAGACCCAAAATGCGTTTTGCCGGGCTTTTAAATGCACTAAGATGAAAACCCCCTGCTACAAGCCTATTAATGTAAATACCAAACTTTACAATCCTTCCTGTCAAGGAAACGTATTTACATTTTTTTCTGAGGATGCATATTGAAAAATAGGGCTTTGGGGACAAAAAGGGCTTAGTTCCAGTGTCACAACACCCCCGGTTAACTGTACTGCTCTCATAAACTATAGAAGTAGGTTGTTCCCAGGGCCAGCAGAGATAACATCTGTTTGCTTCTTTAAGGACAAAATGAAATAGGATGCTAGTGTTTTATACTGGAAATGGCCCTGTAGTCTGAAGGAGCGATGGTAAGAGGGCTGCGTGTCACACACATGCTGCCTGCAGCTTCCCCAGTACGAAGAAAAGATGGGAAAGGTATTATTAGTGCGAGTGCCAGCCCAGGGGAGGCAAACAGCCCTGATGCTATGAGTGGGAGGAAGGGGGATGCTGGCAGACTGGTCTTACTGGCATGGGGGTTAGAATGGTCTTGTTCCTTACACTTTGTTGATGCTCCTGACATCCCAGTTGCACAATTTTTTTTTTTTACTAAATGGAATAATGGGAACTATGTTTTCTTTAGAATCTGGAATATGTTGAAGAGAAGGGTGGCTGCAAGGGAAGGAAGGGGCACAGGTGCTGGCAATGAGGATGGGGAGATGTGAGGGGAGGAAGGCTCAGCTTTGCATGTCTGGTGAAGCATCCTATTGCACTAATTGAAGTACAAAGCTATGCCTGCTTCTCTTGAAACTTACAGCGTAAGCTGCCCGTGATTATATGTATCAGAAGTGGAAAACCTCCCCTTGGCCAGAGGAGTGAGCAGCAGTGACCTGCTGGCGTTCACAAAGGCCAGGTGGCATTCCACCAGTGTCCAAGGCTCTGATTTTCTAATCAAAAAGCTCCTCTGTTGGTAGTGGGTGGTTGTTTTTTTTTTTTTTTTTCCCCTGCAGCTGAAGGGGAATGACCATTTCCCAAGCAGAAATCCCTTCCTTGCCTCCCTCCCCCAAAAACCCAGGGAAAAAGGAGGATAGCTGCGGCAATCCAGCCCAAACAGAGCTTACCCCTTCATGCTCATCCAACATTTGTAGTGCTTGCTACTCCCTAGGAAAGGCAGGAGCTGATCCCAAATTCAGATAATAGCTATTTCTTAAGGTGTTTTGGTTTTTTTGTGAGACTGCTCCCCTGGTATGTATAAAAACTCCTCTGTCTGACCGACCCACACAGAAGTCTGTGACATGCCACCCAGCTAAGTTTGCCCATTTTGGAGGATTTCTCGAGGATCTCGTCTACTTCGGGCTTTTTATGCTGGCAGACGTAACTTTTGTCGCCATAAACGATAGAATTTGACACCGCACCACACCAGGCCATTTGTCAACAACGTTTTCAACAGTTCAACCGCACGCGTGTGCATACACACACGGGCACCGAAAGGAGAGGCGAAGGGGAAAGTCTGGGCGCTCAGGAAAAGGCGACCTTCCTCTACAGGGGATGAGAACGTGGAGCAAAAAGCTACCTCTAAGCACCAGGCTGCAGGTCGGGCTAGGGTAAAGACTCCAAATACCGATTCACCCCAAAGCAAACCGAAAACACGTCGGGGTTTGGTTCTCTGTCATGTTTTTTTCACGCAGTCCAAAATGTTGCTTTAATTTCTTTTAGGTAGGGACAACCTGAGCATCCACATACAAAAATCCACCTCTTTGTAGCATTGTTAATGATAATTTGACAGATAGTGATTTTTAAATGAGCTTAAAAGAAAAGCAGGTTTTGCTGCTAAAGTACTGTGTGATAGAGGGATGGTTGCATATTAGATAACAGTTTTAAAAACATCACTGGCTAATGGCAGCACATCATTTAGGAAACAACAGAATAAATGCATTGTTCCATCCCAGCACTTTACTATTCAGCCAATCTAAACTGCTGAAGAAATATGTGTTTGGGACATTTTACATCTGTTTTTGACAAGAAGCCTGGGTTTTTGCGTGTGACTTTTTTTTTTAATCTATTTGCTGCAGCTTTTTTAGCCAGATTAGCATGGGAAAAAGCTCTCTGTTTTGTAAACGGAGGGTTTTTCCTTTTTAAAAGCAACTCAACTTTGGCTTTTTGCAGTAGAAATTGGGGCACATCACGCAAAAAATAGTAATGCCAGCCATAGTCATAAAAACAACAACAGCAGCGTTACCTATTTAAACAAAACAGGCAGCTTTGTGCAACGGAGAGAGTAACCAATATTTGAACAGCCTAATATTTGGGGGGGGGGCTCCCTAGCAGAGCGCGTGGAAACCCTAATTGCAGCACCCAAATGCAAAGTATTTTAGAGCGCGAATAAAACTTTTACTTGAAGTGGTTTCTAAACTGGTTTCAAGTCTGCATTTTACACCGCTAGTAAGCCCTGGTTGAGCACTTTTTGGCTTTTTCCAACAAGGTACTGTAGTTCCATCAGGGTGGGTTTTTTTAATGGGTCATTTATTGCTGCTAAAGCAAAGATGGATTTGCCTCTTTAAAAAAACCAGCCTGGCCAATGGGCTGGGATAAACTTTCTTTTCGCCTTTAAGGAGCCGATTCTCCACATGATTAAATTATTTTGTTTTACATCATGTGCGACGTTACAAGGCGGGGGCAAATTTCCCTTTTGAGTGTTTGCTTGGTGAAATGGGTTTTGCGGGATCTGCTTTATGTTCCGAGCCCCAGAGAGCGACCGGCTGTATGCAAACTCTGGCTGACACAACGCAGAGCTGCTCTGCTTAATTAGCTTGAGATGAGGGTGTTATTAAGGGGCTTTTTTTTTTTTTCTCCTCCTTTCTTACTGTTTATTTCTCCTTCCCCAAATATTACAAAGGCAACGTAAGAGGAAGTAGTTTTCTGCTAATGGAAAATGATGAGGAGCGGTTTAGTGATGAGAGTAAATAAGAAACTACATCTAACGCCTTTGCTTTACCGGCACTTTGGGGAAGGGAAACCGAAGAAATAGGAAAATTTGGCAAAGTTTGTTCTATCTTTGTTTGCTTTTTTTATTGTGTGAGGGGGAAGGGGAGCAGCCCGGGGTTGCAGCCGACATCTGCTGCTTGTTTCTTTTAAGAGAAACG